GCCGGCGCAAGAGAAGTCCGAGATTCTGCACTGTGACTGAGCCTGCCTTCCTCCTTGCCTTCCTCCCGCCCTTCCTCCCAGTACCCAAAGATGTGCTGCCGGTACCCAGAGAAAGCAGCTTCGGAGGCGGCGGCAGCAGCGACAGCGAAGCTGGGAGCCTGCAGCAGCCCCTATTCCTCCCTCCTATATTGAGTGTGCCAAGCGGCAGTTCTGCGTCCAAAAGAAGCCCATTGAAAGGCCCATTGCATTCCCAGCACGTCTCAAGCTTACTGCCTTTTATTTTATTTATTTTTTTTTCCTCTTAGTCTCTCCCACCCTCCTTTATCCCCCTTTGCTTCAGTTTCAGCAAAAGGAAGGGATGGAGAGGGAGAGAATCTATAAACTCAAGCCTTTCTTTTTTTCCCCCAATGTTCAATGCTAAAAAAAAAATCTCCTGCAAAATAGGTAAGTCAAAGACATCTGGAGCCTTTCTTGCCTAAATCTCAGGGACCTCAAAAACAAGAAAAATATTTAAATAAAATAATGAAGAAAGAACTTAAATTTTAATATTTTATAAGGAAGATTGATACTGCAATGTAGTCTCATCTGCCTTCTGTCTCTCTAGCTCTCTCTCTCTCTCTCTTTTTTCCATTTAATTGTTTCTAAAAATTGAGTATTGCATGCCTGAGGCAGATTTCTCTTTGCTTTCTCACTGGTTCTTCTTTCCTTACAGCTGTGTACATTATATGCAAGTTAAATGTGAAAATTTCTTCTTTTCACTCTCCCTATAAATTATATCTTTTTTTTTTTTAAGTTAGAGGGTTAACTAAATATTTCTTAATGTATGTATCTCAGTGTGGAGAGAAAATATATGCTAAAAACTCCGGTTTATTTTTATTGATTAAAAACAACCATTCAATTTTGATTGACATTTCAGTGACTCAGAAAGGGCAGTGTAAGAAAACTGCATTATTATAATTTATTTATGTACGCATTTTCATATACTGATATTAGGCAAGAAAAGAGAGCCATAGGAGAAGGCTCTGTATTATAACAATAGTACACTGCATTTGTTTCTTCAGATTAAAAAAGAATGATGTCTTTCCTGAAATGTATTTCATGTGATAGATCATTTATCAGCAGATAAGTATCAAGGTTTCCTCACTTTCTTGCCTTTAACTACCCAACTGTCCTCTAACCAGCCACCTGCCGTTTTAATTCCAGCTTTTTACAGGGTTCCTCAGTTGATCTCGAAGGCACAGACATTCTAAACTAAGCTGTTAATACGGACACTCCCAGGTCCAGCATCCTTTAACTGTCACTATCTTTAGCTCTACAATTGTAAGAGCTTATTCTTTAGAAAGACTAATCATTCCTAAAAGGTTCACAGAGTCAAATGATACACATATATAGAAATTATTTAATTAAATGAGATGTTAATAATCTGTGTTTGGGCAAAATAGGGCGGGGGTATAGTGTATTACTGAGCATTAACTGTAATTAAGCATGATGCGATCACTTCTTAAGAGATATCTTAAGTTTTCCAGAGATACTAATAGTGTCATACATCTCAACAGTTGATATTGGGCAATGGGCTCGTACTTTATATTCTTTAAGCTAACAACTTTTAATTATGTGTTTTTATGAGTAGAAACCTATAGTTTAAAGAATTTTTTTTCCCCTCAGAGTTTCAATTAGATCTATAATAGGCATCTCTGATATCAACGTGAGTTTTAACAGGCAAACAGGTGTAATGGCCAAATTAATGCCATTATTATTAAATCTGCCTATATCTAAAAGGCATCACTGTATACCAGTTTCTTTGCTTGCTATAAGCAGCAAGGAAGGCTGCTTTTATTTGTATAATATGCCCTTTGCCAAGTATGGCAGGAAAGCATCATCATATGTTACAGTATTTCAGAGTCTCCTAAATTTAAAATATAGGGCAAATTAGACATGTTGATAGGTTGCTCTGGGTGTCAGTTCAACAACTGCAAAAGTTTTTATGTCATTCTTAAAAAGTCTCACACGTAGGAGTCAATTAGAATAGTGCATATGACTAACAACTAAAAATCTGCATCTTTATTTCTGTTTCAGTTTTGTAATCAACCACGAACAATGAAACCTTCCATAGCTGAGATGCTTCACAGAGGGAGGATGTTGTGGATTATTCTTCTAAGCACAATTGCTCTAGGATGGACTACCCCAATTCCCCTGATAGAGGACTCGGAGGAAATAGATGAGCCCTGTTTTGATCCATGCTACTGTGAAGTTAAAGAAAGCCTCTTTCATATACATTGTGACAGCAAAGGATTTACAAATATTAGTCAAATTACTGAGTTCTGGTCAAGACCTTTTAAACTGTATCTGCAGAGGAATTCAATGAGGAAATTGTACACCAACAGTTTTCTTCATTTAAATAACGCTGTGTCCATTAACCTTGGGAACAACGCATTGCAGGACATTCAAACAGGAGCTTTCAATGGTCTTAAGATTTTAAAGAGGCTATATCTACATGAGAACAAACTAGATGTCTTCAGAAATGACACCTTCCTGGGCTTAGAAAGTCTCGAATATCTGCAGGCAGATTACAATGTCATTAAACGTATTGAGAGTGGGGCATTTCGGAACCTAAGTAAACTGAGAGTTCTGATTTTAAATGATAATCTCATCCCTATGCTTCCAACCAATTTATTTAAGGCTGTCTCCTTAACCCATTTGGACTTACGTGGAAACAGGTTAAAGGTTCTTTTTTATCGAGGAATGCTAGACCACATTGGCAGAAGCCTGATGGAGCTCCAGCTGGAAGAAAATCCCTGGAATTGTACATGTGAGATTGTGCAACTGAAGAGTTGGCTGGAACGCATTCCTTATACTGCTCTGGTGGGAGACATCACCTGTGAAACCCCTTTCCATTTCCATGGGAAGGACCTGCGAGAAATCAGGAAGACAGAACTCTGTCCCTTGCTGTCTGACTCTGAGGTGGAGGCTAGTTTGGGGATTCCCCACTTGTCATCAAACAAGGAGAATGCATGGCCAACCAAGCCTTCTTCAATGTTGTCCTCTGTCCATTTTACTGCTTCTTCTGTTGAATACAAGTCCTCAAACAAACAGCCCAAGCCCACCAAACAGCCCCGGACACCAAGGCCACCTTCCACATCCCAAGCTTTATACCCTGGTCCAAACCAACCTCCCATTGCTCCTTATCAGACAAGACCACCCATTCCTATCATATGCCCTACTGGGTGTACCTGTAATTTGCACATCAATGACCTTGGCTTGACTGTCAACTGCAAAGAGCGAGGATTTAATAACATTTCTGAACTCCTTCCAAGGCCACTGAATGCCAAGAAACTGTACCTGAGTAGCAATCTGATTCAGAAAATATACCGTTCTGATTTTTGGAATTTCTCTTCATTGGATCTCTTGCATCTCGGGAACAATCGTATTTCTTACGTCCAGGATGGGGCCTTCATCAACCTGCCCAACCTAAAGAGCCTCTTTCTCAATGGCAATGATATCGAGAAGCTGACACCAGGCATGTTTCGAGGCCTACAGAGTTTGCACTACTTGTACTTTGAGTTCAATGTCATCCGGGAAATCCAGCCTGCAGCCTTCAGCCTCATGCCCAACTTGAAGCTACTGTTCCTCAACAATAACTTACTGAGGACCCTGCCAACGGACGCCTTTGCAGGCACATCCCTGGCCCGGCTCAATCTGAGGAAAAACTACTTCCTCTACCTTCCTGTGGCTGGTGTCCTAGAACACTTGAATGCCATTGTCCAGATAGACCTCAATGAGAACCCTTGGGACTGTACCTGTGACCTGGTTCCCTTCAAACAGTGGATCGAAACCATCAGCTCGGTCAGTGTAGTAGGTGATGTGCTTTGCAGGAGCCCAGAAAACCTCACCCACCGTGATGTGCGCACTATTGAGCTGGAAGTTCTCTGCCCAGAGATGCTGCACACCGCACCAGCTGGAGCATCTCCAGCCCAGCCTGGAGATTCTCACCTTGCTGGGGGGCCAACGAGTGCATCACCTTATGAGTTCTCTCCCCCTGGGGGCCCTGTGCCACTTTCTGTGTTGATTCTCAGCCTGCTGGTTCTGTTGTTTTCAGCAATCTTTGTTGCTGCAGGCCTCTTTGCCTACGTGCTGCGCCGGCGCCGGAAGAAGCTGCCCTTCAGAAGCAAGCGGCAAGAAGGTGTGGACCTCACTGGCATCCAGATGCAGTGCCACCGGCTTTTTGAAGACGGTGGAGGTGGTGGGGGTGGAAGTGGAGGTGGGGGTCGACCAACTCTTTCCTCCCCAGAGAAGGCCCCTCCTGTAGGTCATGTATATGAGTACATCCCGCACCCAGTTACCCAGATGTGCAACAACCCCATCTACAAGCCACGTGAAGAGGAGGAAGTGGCTGTTTCATCAGGCCAGGAGGCAGGGAGTGCAGAACATGGGGGTCCTGGGACACAACCGCCAGGAACGGGTGAGGTTCTCCTAGGAAGTGAGCAGTTTGCTGAGACGCCCAAGGAGAATCACAGCAACTACCGGACCTTGCTGGAAAAAGAAAAGGAGTGGGCCCTGGCAGTGTCCAGCTCCCAGCTCAACACCATAGTGACGGTGAATCATCATCACTCCCACCCTCACCACCCAGCAGCTGGTGGGGTTTCAGGGGTAGTTGCAGGAACTGGGGGAGACTTGGCTGGGTTCCGCCACCATGAGAAGAATGGTGGGGTGGTGCTGTTTCCCCCTGGGGGAGGCTGTGGGGGTGGCAGTATGCTACTAGACCGAGAGAGGCCACAGCCAGCCCCCTGCACAGTGGGATTCGTGGACTGTCTCTATGGCACAGTGCCCAAATTAAAGGAACTGCACGTCCACCCTCCTGGCATGCAATACCCTGACTTACAGCAGGATGCCAGGCTCAAAGAAACCCTTCTCTTCTCGGCTGGAAAGGGCTTCACAGACCACCAAACCCAAAAAAGTGATTACCTCGAGTTAAGGGCCAAACTTCAAACCAAGCCGGATTACCTCGAAGTCCTGGAGAAGACAGCATATAGGTTCTAACAGAAACAGAAAAATAAATTAGTGGGTTTTTTTTTTTTTTCAAAAGAAAAGGAAAATAAAATAAATATATCCCTTGCTCCTTTTACACTTGTCCCAATAACTCCATTCTCAAAAACTTCCCTGCCCTGAACAGAACTGAAACCGCATGATAACTAGAAAATACAGATGTATGTGCTCCCCTCTCAGATGTGATTTGGAGGAAGGGCCATACTCAGATAATTAATCAATGAAGTGCCTTCGCAGACTTTTGCCAGCAAATGTTACCATTATTTTTTTATACTGAAACTTGAGACTTGACTGTGCCATGTATAAGGTATATTGGGGATCGTTGTATTGATCCTAATTAAGTAAAATTCAATGTGTCTTTATTTTCAGTAACTTTTTCTTTTCAGTTGTAGTTTTGTTTGACAGGGAGGGGAGAAACAAGTTGACATTTGTGGCTTTCTTTCCTCTTCCCATCATGGCACAGATTCTGTACATGTATTAACAATGCAGTTTGCTGCATGCCTGGAAACTGCAAGACGGGGAGGGAGGGGGCGGGTCTTGCTCGAATGTTCTCACCCACTCTTTTTTCTCTCACACACATACCCACAAATAACAAATCCCTGCAGACAGTTAGGTCCCTAAACCTGCAGCCTCTTGCTTCTGGTGCAGGTATACATACCGACACACACACCGACACACGCGCACGCACACACAAACACACACACACACACACACACACAAGCATCCACACCCACACATGCCACTCCCATTCAACCCTATCTAATTAGTTCGGGTTTGATCCATCTGTCTCCTCTCCATAACTCCACCTTCCCTTCACCCCTAGTGTACAGCTCACAACATCTTTCCTACCACCTGGGAAAAGTCATGTTCTAGGCTGGATCCTACTGAAGTGGAGGCCTGGTGGTTTAACAGTTGGAGGCACACATCTAGGGATGAGCATCCTCTTTGTGACACTTCATCCTGATGCCAAGATTTTTGAGAAAACATCTGCACTTTCTTATATATATATATATTACAAAAAAAATAAAAAAGCAACTGGGTATATATCACTAACAGCTTTGTAGGAAGCACTTTTAATGTTTTCTCTCACACACAAAGATTCAAAAGAAATGTGCATATATTTATTCTGTAATTTCAGTGATTATAAATTGTAAAGGTAATGTTTAATCATTGTATAGTGATTATGCGTCTGGTATAGCTTTCCTAATAAAAAGTTTTTGAAAAACATAATACATTATATATAGAGGATACAAAGCTTGAACCTTTAACTCCAGCTATGCCATGCCTTTCGTGCTCCCATTAAAAAAAAAAATCTTTCTTTTACTTGTTATACAGAAAGCTAGTTTATTAACAAGTTTGATGCACTGTGATGTTGATAAGTCTTATAAATCACCACCTCATCCCATACCAGGATATGACTGGGACTCAAAAAATCTGATTTATATAGTTTACTTCTTTTATCTTGGATTATGTGTTTCAAACTTAGTACTCCAGTGATGTACCATTTTTCCTAGGCAGGATGCAATTAGAAATAAAATAAAGTAACTAGATTGCTAAGAAATACAGGATTAATTAAGAGAGGGTAATCAAGGATCCATGCATCTTAAGACAGTAAATGACATAAAGAGAAAGAAAATTTGCTATTCTTTTAGAAAATGTGCACCAAAATTTCTCTCTCTCTCCCTCTCACACACACACACACACACACTCACACACGGACACTTATACACACACTAACCAATCAAAATCTGAGGCCTTGGAGCCATTTTGACTGTCAGAATCCTGTTATCTGTGAAAGTTGTCACTGTTATATTTAGCTACTGTTTTTTCCAACCACTTACTGCAATTGGCCACAGTCATGCTTGAAGTAAGAGAGAGGATGTTGAATAAGTTTTTCTTTCTGTATGATATTAAAATTATGTTTCAAAATTAATCTGACAATAATCCAAGTTATGACCCATTTACATGTGAGTGAAACCAAAGAAAATCATATTTTTAAGGTGCCAGTATCTTGTTTGTGAAGCTAAACTGATGCAGAGCGCTTTGGGCAGGCACCAATCATTTTAGGCCATTAGAGGGCAGCAGAGCTCCAGAGATTCACAGATCCTGTAGCTGCAGAATTGTGCAGTGAGCCGTATTCTCTTCCAGTGTTTCCTCAAGCTGCCCTTAGTAGAAATTATCATTATGTGTTGAATGTAATTCACCACAAGTCACTGATGCCTTACATCACATTTTTTTTTTCCATAAAAAAAGACTAGTAGCTTCTAAAGCTATGTAACTGGTACAAAACTAAGGCATTGTACTTGAAAAAAAAAAAAAAAAGCCCATGAATGTCTAGAACTTATTTATGTATCTCTTGATTAATTATATATGAGTATCAATATAGGTATGCATTCAATGAAAAACACAAGTATATTAATATAAAAATGCAACCTTTTAGGGCTACCTTGCATTTGGCACATTGAACCTAAAACTTTTGTCCTCCATTATTTGAATATTTTGGAATTACTTCAGATGAAGAAAAGCCCATAGCATGATTCACTATTTCTCTACATGCGACACTGAAATGCAACTCTTCTTATGCAAGCAAATCAGACCCACTATTAGATAGGTGTCATTGTTCTTTTTTAATTTTTCTCCTTTTTATACACTTTCCTGTAAATCGTCTTTTTCATAGTTGTCTCATTTTCCTTATTCTTTTTAAGCATCTTTCCATCCTTCACTTACTTCACTTTTTAAGTCAGTACTGAACTTTAAGTGTTTTAAAACCTGATCTACGGAGTCCCTCTAAACTAGCGATTTATCACGTTCCCATTCCTATCAATTAAATATTTTGGTGAGTACTAGAAAGCATGTGCATAATAACGACTCAAAGTACAAAGCTAGATTCTTCTGACAGTAATTATCATTTCCTCAATAAGTGTGCACATATTCATAACATGGCATATTACACGAATCAGGTTAAAGTGCAAATCCCTAATGATCCTGGTGCTTTCCACATTTGAAAAATGAGTATCCATAAATCATATCAAATTATAAGAACTTGATAATTATAATGTTTATATTTTATTTATTAAATACAGAAAGTAAGACTGTCTTAAATATAGGTAGTAATTTTACCTTCGAATGAGGAATAAATTTATTTAGTGAAAATAAATTTATATGAGAATGGAATTTTGTATTAAAGGAGATAATTATTTTGCTTCCATGGAGTTTTCTACCCCCTTGGCTAGACCACTTATTTTCGCTGCACATTAAAATTACTTAACTTTAATTTATAATACTAGATATGTTTTCTTAAAGTACCATGGGTATTAATGTAGGTGTTGTGATTAGGATTTGTTTCATGTTTTTGCTGCAGTAAAATGATTATTTTTGAAAAAAAAGGTAGACTACTAATTCAGTTCATAGTGATGGTCAATTCGACTGAAACAGACCCAGATCTGCCAGATATTTGCTATTATTCATTGCTATTTTATTACAGATTATAGTAATAATATTTGAAAATAATAAAATGTATTGTAATGTTCCTTTAACTATGAGATGGTGAGTGGAACATAATTGAAAGTGAAATATTAATTTGATTCAGTAATAGTTTTAACATATTTATCATATTCAGTATTATTTATGTGGATGATTTTATGTTTTTATTTAAAAAGTTATATTATTTCATCTAATTGCAAAATACTAAAATAATATTAAAGATGACAACCATATTTTAAATAAAAGTTCAAAGAGAGAAAGATTACAATAAAAGTTTAATGACTGTTAGTTTCAAATCTTTGATATCTAAAAAGAATATGTTTAACATTATGAAAATTGATAATGCAATTGCAGAACATAAGGACTTTAATTACTGAAACGCATTATTTAGATTCACTTGGTGCAAATTCATTGTTCATACAATCTTATCCTTTTGCAATTATATTGACTTAGCCAATAAATGTTGCATTTTTGTAAAATGGCTATGACAAAGGATACATTAACGAAATGCTTCACAAAATGTGAGACATATGACTATACCTAGTCAAGGTAATATGAGAGGAAATGGTAATAAAAGAACACTCCCTCTTAAATTATTTGAGCTAGTTTATTTGTGCTTAGATATTTATAACTTATACTTAACTTAAAATCCCAAACTGTGAAAATTCAGGTGAACAGAGTATAAACAGCTATCACTAATTTCACCATATGTTTTCTGTTTAATATACTACAGGCCTTTTAAAAGTAATAGGAGCAATAACACATTAATTGTAATTGGGTAATCGTGTATGTGTGTATATATACATATATATAGTATTATTATATATGTATATACACTGTATATACATGTATATAATTTATATATGCTTGATTATACTTACATGTAAATTAGACATTTTCTTCTCACATGTACAACAACTTCAGTTTTATGCATTTATTTTCTTTGCTTCTGTCTATTTACTGTCCAAGTGAAGCTAGATGAAATTACGAGTCTTCGCTTTGGAAATATTTACATGTAAAAAGTAACAATGTAATTAATATTTCTGAATTTAAAAGTTCTTTTATCCTCTAATTTGTTTCACTTTATTATTTAAGACATAGGAGACAAATTTCAGTCAAATTGTGATTTATTTTAAGTCCTTACCATGAAGAAACTAATCTCTTACAAATACACAACATTAGTCAAATGGAAAACAAGTGCTCCTTTTTTCATTTTTCTATTTCTAGAATAAATGTTACAGGTGAAAACGATTCCAGTAGAATTGTTAATTTGACAAGATCTTTATAATTTATCCAGCTATGATGAAAAAGTGAAATCTCGAAGGTAAATATAAGTGGTAAAGGAAACGTTTAAGATATTCATCATCCCATTTTACTTCTTTTAATATCACCTTTCATTTAAAATGTATAATAATAAGCAGTAATAATAATAAACAGAGATGACCATTTTTAGTATGCTTTTACAGAATCTAAATTGAAGGGGAAATTTTTTTAATTCAAGAAAGCAGTTGTAGACCAGAGGTTGCTAATTGTGAAGAGGTAATGTTTTGACTAGCTTCTTTAATTATAATATTTGCTTCTGAAAATAATATACATATTTTTGAGAATGTGATTGTTTTCTTCTCTATTTCATTGATATAGAGGATTTTTCATATGATTTTAAAACTCTAATAAAAAAAGTAATTGTGGTGAACTTCAAAGATATACATCACCCAAGAGCATAACAATAAATTTGTGGTTAATCCAACCTTTATAATATCTTTAAATATTAAAATATGGATGGACATTAGCAGAAAGAAGGCTCTCTTCATTACTATCCAGTGACAAAAAGACCCAGCATAACTAAATGTTTTTTAGTATATTTAGTTCATCCACTTG